GCGCCGTGAGGGCGACAAAGAAGCACGCCGCGCAGTTCAAACAAGTCGGTCTCTTTTGACGCTCGATTCATCGGAACCTTTTTTTTTTCCTCTCCGCCCGAATGATTTACAAGTGTTGCACAACATAATAATATTGTGTACAACAATAACATATGTACGCTTTCTTCGGGCCTGCTCCTTACATTATAATATCTCCTTCTCCAGACCGACTGCAGCAATTGCGTGCGCGTGCGTACGTGCCCAGCGTGTCCGCCGCCGTCAAAGTGTAACGCGTGTGTACTGTGTATAACATAATGATATAATAACAACAATAATGTTATAAAAGAAGCGACAGGCTTTCTCCACGCGCGACCGCCCGAGTTTAAGGACACAAAAACGACCCAAAGCCATCACGTCTTCGACATTATTATGCACCAATGATGATGTGTGTATACACAATATATATAGTTACTAATACAATAATACAGTATTTCTCAATACGTCTTATCGTGACGTCTAATATGATCCTAACTCGCCGAGTGACACGGATTCGGAAATTATACACTTACATAGTACCAGCTACATCGCAACCGCGGCAAAAATAAAGGATTGAAATCATCTCTAACTCATCGCTATATAAACGCTTATATTATTAGCTATAGAAAGCTACGAATACCTAGTTCAACATTAGTTTTCGGCTAGTATAATATGGGGCGGATAGTAGGAAATAGTAAAAGGCCATAAATTATTGACTTGAGACTTCACGATTATATTTAGGACCGCAGTTATCATTAAATTATGTCATATACCTATAGCCTGTTCTGGCAGTTCTTTCAATTTATATATCGCCATCACTAATAAAACTGCAGTCAGTATTCGTCAAAAACACTATATGATTTATATATGGTTAAAATTTATTAAATAAAACTATATGGGTAGTTGGTGAAATTTGTTTATCAGTAATTACGTATGATAAAAATCAACGGTTAATTTCGTTGAACTTTATTTATATTAAATATATAAAACATAAAATATATCATCAATTATTATTATAATATATTAACCCATACATATTGGCTATTAATAATCATACAACTATTAAAAAATTCAACGAAATTTCTGTATTTTAGATTAAATTCTTAGAAACCTTAATCGTAGAATTGTTTTTATCTAACACTAAATGCAAATTAAAACATGTGAATTTCAATAGGATTTAGTTTTTTGCAGTGATCATGGAATTGTATAATTTTATTTAATTGTTCAAAATTCTCCTAATCCCCCTTTTATATATGTAACAATATTTTAAAATTAAGTATCGTAATTTATAATCATTTATTATAACATATAATCGATTAATATAAATAGGCAATAGCTGGTAATTATTAATCTTAAAGATTACCTCTACGATTTCCTTCTCCCATCCCACTGATCATCCACATCGAAAACTGCAGTATCGGAAATCATAGACGTCATTAATATCCTGAAAATTCTTCTATCAATAGGAAAAAACCCTTAGAATAAGTCCTGCAGATGGTTTTTTGATTTTTATCGAGGAATAATAATATCACGAGCGCTCTGTTAACACTTTTATGACAAACGGTGCCGCCAAGCCGATCGAATGGCTCCGGAATCGCCGACATTTTTTTCACCCCAAGTAAATCCTTTTAGTCTCGATTTTTTTTTCTCGTCCTATAGTCCAGACGTCAGGGACAATACTATAATACGAGTAAACATTACACGACCGTATAATACACGTCGTATATTATAATAATATGTTATATTATTTTGTTTATGGGTAAATATAGCATAAACAGACGCCGACGATGGCGACATCCAAATAAACGGCTTTTCGAAAAGTGAATTTTATATCATTTATATATCCTCGCAGTAATGCGCACATGCGTTTGGATCGTTTACTGAAGTATAATATGGCAGGCCTTTGTACAGGTCTTACATTTATGCGTACCGACGTGATAATAATATAATAATATTATAATGATACTTATGTACTATACATTATATTGTATTTCTAATAAACGTGCATGTTGTGTTGCAATTTATATGGTACGTATTATATTCGAATATATACAAAACATTATATTATATTAACTACCAACGCAAACGATGCAATGCCTGCAATAACTAAGTAATAACGTCTATAGCGTTTATATTATATACCTACTATAATATATAGAATTAAATAGAGATATCTACGTGGATTTCGGAAACATAATTTTACCAACAGTTAAACCTACAATAAAATTTAAAAAATGTATGATGCATAACATTTCTTTAATTTGAAATTTTTATATAGGTTTATACGTTTACAACCTATTACAACAGAATATTTGTATTGAAAAAAAAATATATTATTTAAAATTACTTAATATTAAGTACTTATATAATATGTACGATGCACAATATACCAAATAATCTATTAAGGCCACTACAGGTTTGGCTTACAGTGGAAATTGTTAAATACATGACATGTACCTTATAATATATTTTCAAGAAACTAGACATGTTGAGTACTTATCTATATTGATGTCTTAATTGTATTAAATATCAAGTCTAAGAATAAAAGTGAAAAAGAACCGCGCTTACACGTGAGCCAAGCATCTAATATTACAATAATGTAGATGTATGACCTACAAATGGTATACGATCGATTTATTTTAATATTATAACTTGTAAATATATTATAGTGTTTACAAACAAAATAAATATTTTTATTACCTTAAAATATAGTTACCTTAAAACAAGAAAATTTGCGCGCTATTAATGCCATCCAGGTCTCTCATCAGAGACGGTTAGTATATCAATAGATATTATTATACAGTATATACATCAATATTAAATACATATACGAACTGTATCTTATCTGATAAAAATATATAAAAAATGCGTATGCATTTTTACAACTCCAAATTTCATAAGATGGTCCAGAAAATACTTTCCATCGAAAATGGAAAAACGAATATATTTCTCCAATAACCAACATAAAAATACTTAGTTGGAGTGTTCACTATAATATCCTCCCCCTTCATAATATAGATACTTTAAAGTGTATGTTTAAATCAGCATAAAATATTAAAATCCAGACGATTATTGTGTTGAACCTTCCACCCCCTTTATACTATAAATTATTTAAAAGATAATTTTTAAGTATCTAATTAAAAATTCTAACGTGTTATCAGTTATTAAATTGTTTATATCAAGAATAATATAATCCTCCTTAAAAAAATTTTCATAAAAATATATGAAAGAGTATTGAATTTAACATTTATTATACTTGGACTATTTTTGGAAATTATAAAAGAATATTAATTATCTACTATAGAATATACTCAAAGTAACATAGCTTTTATATTTTTCAAACCTCATATCATGGATTTATTATTCTTAATACACAAAATTATAAATATCTCATAACTACTCGTCCAAATTTTTATTTTAATATGTTAACATTTTTAGAAAAATTATCTAACCTAACCATTCACTTAGCAGTGAATTATTGAAGTATTAAAGGGAGGTTATCATTTGAAAATAGAACTGTTTTTCTCAAGAATTAGATAATAGTCTTACGGTATATTTAAAAATTTCAAAAAATCAGATTTTGAGTAGGTAATTAAATTATTAAAGAAGAAAAGGGGACAAGCATACTTCAAGTTAATTACCTTGCATATACCTATAAAATATAATTGCGTATAATTCATAGAGTTTTATAAAAATTTATTTAAGCATTACTTATTGAAATTTTACACACGTTTTCATACGCCACTTAATATGTATAATAGTTATATAATTTATTAATTTTTATGATTCCCGTAAAAACCTATGTCTACTCTTATGTTTCCTACAATAGAGTTTACCATAGTTTACATAGTATATTACTATATTAGTGTAAAGTGTATTGTGTATATAATAGTTAATTATAATACTATAAAAATAATTAATTATAGGGAACCTAATTGAACGAAAAGTATTATGTGATAAAATAAATAATAATTTTATATCATAACATTTTTAATGCAATGCAAAATCTATCAAATACATATATGCACGAAAACACTATCTACTATCTAGGTATATTGTACTGTAATCATTATTTCTGAGGAAATAAAATCGACAGAAAAATCAAAGCAAATTGACATTTGTTAAGTTGTCAAATTTTATTGTTGTTCTAATAAAGTAATGCCTGCAATGATGTCAATGTAATGTGAAATCATGTAAGTTATATAAAAAAAAAACCAAATCAATACTTTTAGATATGAATATATATAGTATGTAGATGCTTCCATATTTAAGAATATGAATTTTAGTAAAGAATTTCCATTTAAAAAATGTTAATTCTATTTTTTTATGTATATAGATACTATCAAAATGAACGCTCTATAATACTTTTAAAATAACAAGGCAAGTTTTTTTACACAAAATCAGATTACGAACATTTCACCCATAACCGTAGAATTATTAAATAATTTAAACACTATTAGTTGGGGCTTAGTAGCCTATCAAATACCGGTATTACTAAATTTTAATTTAATTTCTAAATACAAAAATAATATGTACCGACCTATATAATTAAATATGTATACTTTTTGCAGAAATTTGCACTTTTAAAAGAAATAATTAACAAAAAAAAGATTCATTATTATATTATAATTTTAAAAATCCTAGAAAATTACACACAAACTTTAACACTTCGATATAACTATAACGAGATGATATCGTTTGTAAAATATATATTATAACACGATTCGACGATTCAACATAGGTACTTTATTAAACTTACAAGTCAACTATACCGTACCTCCTATCAAGCGCATAGGACACCGTTGTGATAAAAATATCTGATAATGACATTATCGTTGTTTGTTATGTACGTAGATGTGGACGAAAAGAGTCGGCTAAACTTCGCGTCTAGTTTGGCGGGAAAATTTTTGTTTTGCTCGAATATAATATTATAATAATGACATATTATTATCTATTAATAATAATTATCAATAAATTTTACGAACCTGGTTGTGGACGGTCTTGGTACTCGACTCTCTTCATCCAACCGTACGGGCTCACGCGCCCTGTGCCAGTGGGCGACGGTTGTTGTTGCACGGGCGGCCAATACTTATAGTCGTTGGCCGTCTGGTAAACGGCCGCAGTGGCGGCCGCAGAGGACGGTTCGTCCAACGACGTGCCGGGCGACGAGCACGTGGCCGTCGAGGCCGTCACGACCGCCGGGTTGTAGGCCGCGACGGCCTGCAAGGTGGCCGCGGCGCCGGCAGGCTGATGGTGCGGCGGCGGAGGCGGTGGCGGCAACGGCGGCGCGTGGTGGTGATGATACACCTGTACGTCGTCCGCGTACGAGAGCCGCCGTTTGTTGTACACGACCGCCGTTGGCCACGCGGCGTAACCACCGCCGCCGTCCGCCGGTTGATGGTGATGGTGGTGGTGCATCAACGACTGCGGCGGCGGTATCGCGGACATTCCTTGATGCGGATGATGGAGGTGATGGTCCTGTTGCTGCTGTTGGTGTTGTTGTTGTTGTTGTTGTTGCTGCTGCTGTTGCTGTTGCTGTTGTTGCTGTTGCTGCTGCTGCTGCTGTTGCAGATGATGGTGGTGGTGGTGCTGATGGTAACCGGCGGCGATGGCCGCGGGCTGATGACCGTACGCCGTCCACGAACCGGCCACGGTGGCCGGTTGTGGTTCGGCCGGGCACTCGTCACCGTTACACTGAGCCGGCATGACTACGACGTGATGGCCGTGATGATGATACGACGGACCCTGTTGTCTGCTGCACACGGCCACCGATTCATTCATTTTACGTCGGCTGTGGTTTTTCACGGACAGGTCATCCACCACATTTTCGTCGCCTGCAGCAGTTTTCCTATAATTGTGTGCGCCTATTGCATACAGTACAACGATGATGCGCTGTTATTCCCTGTGGTCGCAGCTAAATCGTTATGATATAATTTATTCACGCAGCGGTGATTGCAGCTGCAGGTGATCCCAGATCATTTGCCCGCGATTGGATGTGGCGCGTCACCGACGTGCCCTATGTAGTATATACTGTAATCGTCACCGGGATCGCGAATAACATTATTATGGTTTCACGACGAATTGCGCAGGCAGTGCGTAACGCTGAGCGAATTCGATGTAACGAACTGACGCACCGGCACTATACGGGACTATAATATATTTACACTAGCGTATACACACTGACGCGGTTTACATATAATTCAATCAAAACGTTTATTACTATTATAACACATACCGTCGCGTAACTCGGTAATAAGTATACGGTATACGTACCCGCACGTCTACTGTCGCGTAAATATAACAAAACGGATTCGCATAAACGTCGTCGTCGTCGCGGTCGTCGAGTGTGTGTGCCGCGCGAGTGTCGAGAGCGTACAACAATATAATAATACTACTGTATATTAGCCGTGTGCGTTTTATTAAAAGAAAGATGGGAAAAAAAAAAAATAAAATAATAACAGCAGACTTATATTTCGAGGTGTGACAGGCGAATGCGTGCGTGTGCGTGTGCGCCGCCGTACGTACCTGTAAGTGTACCGCGATGATATTATATTATTACGCGTTCGAGTGTGAGTGTGTGTGTGTGCGTGCGTGTAAGTGTGTACTTAATATTATTTAGACACGCGATCGATTACGACTGATGAGGTGCGGTCGTGCGTGGCGCGCGGACCGCATTCGTGTGCGAGGGACCGTCGGGGGCGGCAGCGGCGGAACACGACGGGCGTGCTCGGGCCACTCCCGCCGGGCCGCGCGCCGACCAATCGCCGTGCGGCAACCGCGCCGGCGGCCGGGGACCGCGTAAAAAAATAATATGTCCGCCGCCGAACGCACTACCGCGGCGCCGGCGGCCGCAGCGGCGGCGACTGAGCGCGCGTGTTTTTCGTTTACGTTTTTGTTGTTTGCCGTCCGCGGGACGACTTGGCGGTTCGCCGCCGCCGCCGCCAATTTCTCGGTAAGCCCATTGTCACAATGGGTACCTGCCGCCGGATTGTGTACCATTATTGTCAGGTATTATGCCCATTGCCCAGGTACCATCAATGCGTTTCTCCGAATTGCCGTCCGTTTTTAACATTTTAAACCGTATAATATTCGTTATATTTTCGAATTCGTTTAAACGACCGCGACGGTTTGTTCCGACCTCCTACGCAGCCAATTCCGTTGCATCTGAATTGCGTGCGGCACGGAACATTAAGATTAAAAATCATAAGAATACCCAATGACCGTGACTTATTTTTTGTGCGTCTGAGTATAGGTACCATTCGTTTCCTAAAATATAATAATAACGATCACTATATATATATTATAAATTAATGGGTTTTATTTATTGAATTTCCTCTTTATTGTATATTTTGATGAAAATGTATAATGTCTACGTACGAATCTTAAACAAAGATAAGTCGAATTTGAAAAAAAGTATAGATTCAGTTTTTACCACCGGACAAAAAGTCCATGCACATTTTCCAAGTTGAACAAAAATTAATCCGAAAATATACAAATTCTTCAGTTCACAAAATTTAAGATTAGAAATTAAATAAAATAATTTTATCTTTCTTATAAGTTCAATACCTAGTATTTGATATATTAACAATTCGGAAGGTGATAGTGAAAATTCGTGGTGGTAATTTAAGAAAAAATAGCATTAAATGAAATGAAACCCGATATATAGGAACAAAAAAATATAAATCAGAAAAAATAGAAAATGCAATTTAAGTAAAAACAATAGTGATAATGAATTGACAAAAAAAGCATTTTTAAATAGTATACCTAATAGGTGGTATTATAAATTATGAAAATTTAATTTATTTAAAAAAATTTTATTTAGACTTATTATATTATTATTATTATACCTATATAAAATTATTTTGAATTTTGTATAAAATAATATACACAAAAAGATGAATTCGGTCTCTTCGTCTAGTTATATTTTTTGACCGAATACTAATACAAACATTTTATTGTAATATATTAAAAAAAAATTGTTGAAAAACAATTATAAATATATATAAACAAAGAAAATTTTTAATAAATATGAATATAATCAAATGCCATAATGGTTCAAATTCGTAATTAATATACACATACACTGCAGCTTTAACGATGGGGCAGGACAGGGCATTTTCCCTCACTCCTACGCGAAAAATAATATTAACTTATAATTTATTAATATATTAGTATATTTAGTATACTTTATTTTCTATTTTGTTCGTTATTATAATTATTAAAATTTAATTTAATTAACTATAATATAAGAACCTACCAATACAAATATTAATTACATAAATAATAATAGCATATTTATATATCTGTAGTTAAAATTTTCTTATTGACAAAAAGTATAAATGGAAATATTTTATAATTGTGTTGTTTAATTTTAAAACTATTAAGCTTTCAATTCGGTTTGATATTATACATAATTTAACTCAAATTTAAGTTTTAGCACGCCATTCAAATAGTGCCAATACAACTCTACTAGCTATAGCGGCTATTCTGTTGTAAATTATAGGTAGATATACTCAGAATAAGAGTTATATAATTTTTTTTTTACAATAAACGTATATAATAGCAGTGTCAATATTTTTATTTCTTTATTTTCACACCCCAATCTTAGAACCATTATTTAATAGAAAGGTAAGTCGGGTGAGGTGTTCTAAAATGAGTAATAAGAGGATAACTTCGGATTTATATGACTATTAGCTACTATACTTTATGTGTGCTTTATAGTTGTAAAAGACATCAATAAGAATAGTAAATAAAGTGGGTCGGTATCAGATATGCAATATTAAACAAAATAAGAACGATATAACTATCATTGTAGCACTTATTAATACTTAGAAGTTAAGGTCGTAATTCGAAGCTATACAAATCGCAAAAAGAATAACCTATGATACCACACTCTAAAACGAGTTCTAATCTAATAATTTGTCAACTAGCTTTGAGATAATTTATGATGACTAAGGAGTATATTATATACATGTTACGAGCAAAATATACAATTTGGGCATTTTCTACAATATCCGGGCGTTATATAAAATACCCTTCATATATTGGACAATACACATAATAATATTAAATTGTAAAATATAATACAAATTTAATGAATAAAAAATATATATTTATACTATAATAACTATATTATTAGAAAATATATATTTTTTTGTTCTTATTAGTTGTCTTACAATGGAACAGGCCTTATATTATATACATGATACATATAATATGTATATATTCGTAATTTACAAAGAAAGATTTCTAAAAGTTAATTATATGCCAAAAATCAAAATTTCACTTCAAGAGACAGCATGAAAAATTTCCAATTTCGGTGATCAGGATTACAACCGATTTACGTATGTAAAAAAAATGTAGAATATAGAAATGGAAGAGCAAAACAACAGAAAAACTATTTATAATATGCACGTCAAAATTCCACGGAAGCAATAAATAATGTAAAATAAAAAAATTATTATATTTTCTAATAGTATAAATATATATTATTATTCCTAATATTTTGACTATACTATATCATTAAATATTTTATTATTTATATTGCCTAATATACCTAGAGAATTTTATAAAATGCTCGGGCATTATAGAAAACACCCAAATAGTATATATAGGTACTTTGCTCGTAACATAATGGCGTATATTAAATGTAGCGGAACATATAATATTGAGACAATTGTAAACATTTTTATATTGAATAATTAAATAAATTTGTTTATTATTTAAAGCAATCATTATGATATATAAATCTATCAAATATATGGTATTATAAGTAGGTATAGTAAATAAGTTTCTAAATTCAACTAATAAATAAATCGCAAGAATTAATATCAATATACTTTTAAATTTCTGTATTTCTATACATATGTATATACCTATATATATATTTTTTAATTTATATTATATTTTATCAATTAAATTACAATCTTTTAAATTTAAAATTATATTAATATTATACATGTGTTGTGTAGAGTAGGTAATATATATATATGGTAAAATTGTTTTGAAAATATTTTTAAAAAGTATTTCTGAAACTGAACCAATGTATTATTGTTGTAAATTATAATGCTTAAAATTATGGACTTATTTAATCTTTTAGAAACGGATTTAAATATAGTCAATGGGTTTATGTATAAGTATTATTATGTATGGCTTATTGAGTATATTGGTTATAACAAAAGCCAAAATATACCGACACATCATATTTTATTTTATTTTCCGTTTCTATAATAGTGAATAAGACAGGGTAGAACACACAGGCCGTTTAAGCTGCCCTTATTTTACCCTTCTTATATTATATTATATGTATTATAAATTGGTACTAAAGATATATGCTGGCATAGTATTATATATTGTCACAACTAAAATATAAACTATACCTTTTTTAATTTCACGATACATTTTGTTTTATTTTAATTTAATATATTTCTACGTAGATATAGATATACCTATAGGTATTATAATATGATAAATTCGGTTTATTTTATGTATAAATAATAAATATCTAATACAATTATAATATTCAACAATAAGTAAATAGATACTTTCTATAAACTTTGTAAAATTAAATTATTGAAAATCAATTTTTTTATTACTTAAAAATACCTTAAAAATAGTTTGCTTGCATAAAACTAGCCAGATCAAACATAATATAGATTATAGAATACTACAAATAAAAATAATTAATTTAAAATTGTACCTATAGGTTAGGTTACAAATATACCTTTATGATGTTTATGGTAAATTCGTTAAAATGTACTTTTTAGGTGCTAAAAATTTATCATACAAAATGTATTTACTTTTCATATGATCAAACTTCAAAAACGAATGTATTTTTCTCCGTTATATTTACATTCAGCCAGCTTACCTAATACAGTATACTATATTTTTAAATTTTCATAGTAGTTTCATAAAATTAATGATATATCTAAATATTTTATGGAAACATATTATAATTTATCATTTAGGTATGTGTCTAATATCTATTACTATTGATTACAGACACTACTACCTATTTATAATTAATGCTATTATACGGACGTTGTACACGTGTTAACTGTTGACTTAATACTCATATACGAAAATATGTTATCGCTCGATGGTTGTACAACGTACGATTTATTATTGCACCTAATAACAATGTGAAGCCACCCGAAAGACATGCAAATATATATTTATATTCAATATAATATTATTTATACGCAATAATTACGAATTCCATGGTCAATAATTATCGAAAATAAAGATAAATAAATAATCACAGAGTGTTTTTGAAAATTGAAACCATGGTTGAGGACTGAAGATGCAAAAAATCTATATAATTAGTAAATTATTTTATATTATAGTCTATAATTTAGTAATATGTAAATATATTTTATTTATTATATAATATAGGTTAATAGGGTAATAGATATTATAATGATATTCTTCTAGATAAATATCAATGTACCTATATGTATTTATAATTCTTAAATTAGGTATAGATAATTATGTATACATTTAAAGGGAAATTACCCATTTTTTCTTTAATAATATTATGTAGTTAATCAAAATTTGATTTTCGGAATTTTTTAAATATACGCGAATACCTAACACCGTATTTTTCATAATACGAATTTTCTCAATTCTGGAGATTTTTTATACTTCTTAAGTAATGTCCTAT